AATGTTAAAACAACAAAATTTATTTACATTATCAGAGCCCCTCGTCACGCCCAATAATATTTCTCGCCACATGATTATCGCGACCACAGACCACAGCGCGTGACGATGATACTACGGCCGCCTCGTGCCGTGTCACAGAGTCACGCGGCGCACGCGTCTCGTCCGTCACTCCGTGTCACCCGCCGTCACACTACCGTGTCTGCCTCAGTCTACTTCCTGAACGCACTGGGGGAGCCTCTTCGGCCTCCTGCTGCCCCCCCTCCCCGCCTCACGAAGCTTGGCGCCTTCTAAACGGACCACTAGCATTGCACGATCGGCGAACAAAAAAAAAAAAAATAGATTGGAGAATAAAAATAAAAGCTCCGTTAGTTGGGAGTTTCTTACACTCGTAACGACAGCTTGATGGGGCGTTGCAGAGGAGGGGGAGTGTCCGGCCATCGCTCTATAGCGGGACAAGCTCACTTCATTAGACGCCAGCGGAAGTCGGCTCGCGGGAGCAAGGGCCCAAGCATCTGGTCGGCAAATAATGATTTTGCTTCCGCCCTATCCATCCGCTCCTCCTTCATTTCATATCTCTTCTCCCCTCCACCCTCCTTTAGTCTTTATCCTCGCCGATCCAGAAAAGGCGCCCTTTTCTCTCCAACGCCGCAGCGTGAACATGTTCAAGGCGCCTCAGAGTGTCCGATATGTCATTCTTGATCTATGATCATATCATCGGGTGCTTGCAAAAACCACACACTGTTCGTAGTCGTTTCTTTTCTTACACGAGACCCCAACCACTACCGCCTCTGTCAAAAAACTGCTGTTTGAAAACAATATCGTCTGCCGCGACATCCTTGTTCCGGTTCACTATACACCCAACCACGACGCGGCGCGCCAAATCTATCTGCTGCTGCGGTTTGTACTCGTCGCGCGCGTTTTCGGTCGGAATCGGAACCCTCGCCGACGACACGCTCGCAGTGTGTGCGGGAAGGGGAAGGCCGCGCTGTCACAGCACCTTCCGTTCCGGCACCCTTCAGTGATAATTGCAGCCAACGGGACGCCCCCGCTCTCCCACCTCCAGCCCCGCTCTACCTCCTCTCCGCTACCACTGCTCTACCTCTCTACCTCCTCCCCGCTCCCTCCGCTCTACCTCCTCCCCGCTCCTCTGTTTTCGGTCGCGGGGGCGCGGGTGACGCCTGACTCCGCCCGCGTGCCTCACGCCGGTATCGAACGTCTGCTACTCTCCGTGTGCAGCTCGCTCTGACCCACTTCAGCGGGCATGCCGGTGGCGTGACCTTGACCCAGATCTGTTTGTCGTCGCGGGCGGCGGCGGGCGGGGCGGCGTGATCCGGCAGGGGCGGCCCGGGTGCGGGCGCAGGACGCCCTTGTGTCCGCGCCGGCCGCGCCGGGGACAGCGACGGACACAAATGTCGGGCTTTAGCTCGCCTGGGTTGCAAAATGCGGGCAGCAGACTGGTCAAATATATGCGTCTTTTAATTTTCCAGAAAAAATTTTTTTTGTTGGCACATTACATATTTCCCGAGTAGGTTAAACTCAATCAAAATTTTCTAGAAATTCTAGAAAAAATTACGATTTTTTCTAGAAAAGTTACGAATTTTTCTAGAGAAAGAACGAGAACCACGGCACGGGGAGTACTAACAGTGGGTGCCCTATCCGTGCATACCTCTCCTTCACTGCTGCCGCTCCTTCATAGTCGCTTCCAAAATCTAGTCCAGGGTCAAAAATGTATCTCCCCCCCCCCCCCTCCTCCTCCAACCTCCGTTTGGTCCTCTCCCGCGCACAGATGACGAGCAGCAGCAGCAGCGGCGGCGGCTGCAGATGGCCAGGCGGCAGATGTGGCTGGCTCGGCCCGCCCAGAGGCGCCCCACGCGCCCCGCCCTCCGCCTCGGGCGCCGAAGCCGAGGTGATGGAGGAGGTCGTGGATCAGCTGGGCCGGCCCGAGAAGATTAGAGCAGCACAGACTTTCCTCACATCGGTCCAGTCCACTTCCAACACACCTCTCGCTCCTTTTCTCGAGGGGGTTTGCGTGCGACGCGTGGCGAGTCCCTGAGGAGCGGGTCCAGCTCACGAGGGTCGGCCGCAGAATCCATACCACTTTCA